TTTAAACCTGTTCATGTAGACATCAGCTAAAGCTTTTTCTTGGACAGATTTACCTTAGGGTATATTCTGATTGCTTTATATAGACAGGCAGACTATTCTAGTCTATGCCCTAGGGGGTTTTTGGGGGGAGGGGGGAGGAGAGAGGGACGTAGTGAAGGGGAAGCTGGGGTGGAAGGGAAGAAGAAAAGTCATTTTATACAGAGATAGTATTTAACAACCAAAAAATCTAGCCAGCCAGTTGTAGATCCTTTAGACAATTCAAGATGCCCTGTACTCTACACACACACACAAAAAAAAAGTAAAGATTTTGGTTGAATTGCTTGATTTCATTCATTCAACCCCAGCCAGCCCTTCAAGACAAGGCTTAGAAGGGGCAGATCCATTTTCCATGTCCCAGAATCCTGTGAAAGAAAAATGCCATGCAACTTGCAAATAGTTTTAAGCACTCCACTTCTGGATCTCTCTGAGTGAGAACCCACACTTAAGACCATTGCTTTAATGACAACATTTCAGCAAAAACTAGCATATAATTAGGAACCTACTGAAATAGCGATTTGACACTTTTTGCAGAAAACACTAAATCAGGTGTCTTCCATGAAAAATGGCAGGTCTCTGAGATTTTTGTGGGATCACCTGGAAAAACAAACAAACAACCAGCTTACTAGCAAGCAAAGAAAAGAGCGGGGAGCCCTGCAGCCTTGGAGCACATGGGGCAAGAGGGGGCTAATGAGAGGCTGACCCTGCGACTCGGGCTCAGTACAGGTGCCAGTCCAGGGCCAGCTGGGGAAGCAAAAGGGCTGCAGCACCACCTTTGAGGCAACTGGAGTCACGCTGCAGCTTGAGGAGGATGAAGAGCAAGAAGAAATCCTTCAAGGAAGCAAAATGCATTTCAGCTCTGGATCACGTAAGGCAGTATCCCCTTCAGGGACCTTGCAAGCAGATGGAGGAAAATTGCTCTGTACTACTTGCAACGTGACTCTGGATGTGACAAGGAAAAACAGTATAGGTCAATTGACACTTAAGAGTCTGAGGTGCACATGAAGTAAAAGGCTCCTGCAGAGGCTGAAGGTCAGAGGAAGAATCAAGCAAGCATGTCCTTGCTCTTTAAAAGGACCATGGAAAACAGTTTGGTAAGGCAAGCAGCGACATTTTCCCCTCATGGAGGCTTTCACAGCAGCAAACATCCCACCGGAGAAAACTGATCGCCCCAAGTTAAGAGACTACCTTATACAAATGTGCCAAATGCTGCATGTTTCTCATGTGCAAGGCTATCTCCAAGCAGTGATTACTTTGCACGTACATTCATAAAGTCTGCATTGGCAGTGTAGCAATCCATCTCCACTGTGGCTGATGGGAGTCCCCAACCCTCAAGACAACTATGTGCAGCACATTTTATTTGGGGAGCTGGACAGACTGGGACCTGCCTGTTTTTCAAACAGAGCTGGTCCACCTCATGTCTGTCAAGTTTTCTACTGTGGCTCAGGCCGTAGCGGAGGCTGTTGTCAACTACAGCTTAGAATTTAACAAGGTCTCAGCATTTCTGTCCGACAATGCCACGTATACGTGGAGGGGCGCGGGTTATAGCCGTGTTGGTCTAAGGATGTAGGCAGACAAGGTTCTTTGGGTGAATCTGACATCCGTTATTAGACCAACTTGAATAGTTAGAGAACAATTTTAAGCAAGCTTTCGGGTTTAAAAACCCTTTGTCAGGCTGACAAGAAAACCACTCTCTCTCCAATCTCTCCGTCCTGATCCTCAAAGGAAACTTACAAAACACCTCCCAGAGACGAGCCTACGAACTGCACTTCATCAGCCTCCTGGATACTAAAAATAATGGACTAAATATAGACACTGGATTTATGACACATTATAACCTGCCTGACATCCGACTCTCCAGGTACCTCTCCACTATCTAACTGCTACATTCATCCCCCTTTCCCCTCACACCAAGCCTGTCTCTCACCCACGACTCCTCAAGTTACATCTTCACTGACCGCCTGTCTTGCATGCAGCCCAGCCTCTGGCTTCTTTACTTCCCTTTCCATCCAGGAAGAGCGCACACCAACCGCAGAGACGTTCTCAGCCTGACAAAGGGCTTTTAAACCCAAAAGCTTGCTTAAAATTTTTTCCCAACTATTTAAGTTGGTCTAACAAAAGATGTCAGATTCACCCAAAGAACACTGTCTGCCTGTGTATATGTGGAAGACTTTTTCTGATGTGCCCCATGGAATGAAGCCCAATGTAGTTCGTGTCACCTGCAATGTGGACACTGCCTTTAGTAAATGACATCTGATGCAAGCAGTTCCCCAATGTGGATAGCCTGGTTTCCTCCTTCCAGACAGCCTTTAAGCACTTTCCAGGTACAGGGAGTCCCTTTCCAGTCAAAGTGGGGACCCACGTGATGGTCCCTGTCACCAGAGCCTGTGCTTACAAGGTGGGATTTGTGGTTCAATGTGGCCTGTTACCACAAGCCTATGCAGCACAAGCAGCAATGTGTGTCCAAGAAGCTAGAAAACCCACCTGGCACACACCGCACGCTTAAGTTACATGATCTCCTGGAACCACAAGACATTCAAGATCAAGTGAATTTTGTGGCAGATGGCAGAAATGCCAACTGGTTCATGGTTACGTGGTTTGAAGGCCGACAAACTGTGATTCACCATGCACACAACAAGCTGATGGATTTGATGAGTTGGGTCAAAGAAACGGCATCATAAGGACTATCAAGCTGTCATCATTAAAACCAGCAGAGAAGAGACCTGTTCTAGGCAATAGCTGTGAAGTTTAACCAATACTACAAGTACAGCCTGTCACTACCACAGCAGTTCAAACAACCAGTTGTCTCCTTCCTTAGTGCTGCTCACATTTTTGACCCCAAATCAGGTGCCTTTTCTGAGTTTTGACCCTCAGCTACCGAAATCGATCCCTGAATGGCAGAAAGAGCATGACAAGGAACATACTACTTACACAAGCTTTGTCAAAGAGTGCCAGATGCCTGTGACTGTGACCATGTTTTTGGAGTCTGTTTCTAATCAGCTTCTGCATCTGCCTGACCTGGCAAAACACTGTCTCACTATTTCAAGCAACGCAGTGGACACCGAGCGTGCAATCTCAGTTTATGGACACGTGTTTACCCCACAGAGACAGAGAATGTCAGTGGCAACTGCCAGGGGATGCTGCATGCTAGTGTTTAACAGCTAACATGAATTGCCTGTCTCAAGGTTAGCACTGCGCATTGCTAAAATCCTTTTTTTACAACTTTAATAATAAATTATGATGATGACATTAGTTACAATTCATGGTATGTATAGCTTTAATTTCATAAGACATTTCAGTTTAGAGTTTAATTGAATGCTTAGATTACTTAATAATGTGTCAATTAATGGCTTTGATAGGCTTATCAGGGTAATTATGATGCAGTGCCTGCCCCTCCACCAATCAGCAGTGAGGGGCAGCACCTCCAGGGCCCTTTGGCCAATTGACAGTGTTGGGGGGGCCCTGCACCACAAAAAGACTGAAAAAATGGCAGGTGGTGCTGCAATCCGGTCACAAATTTTGGACTCATCAGCCACAATATGAGTAGACTCCTACATATAATTAGTCTGCCCAGAGGGAAAGAGGAAGTTTAATCTCACTATATCATTCAATACTTGTATTGTAAACCTGTCAATACTCATGAAATATCAAATTAATTATGTTAGTCTGGAAATAATTTATAATTACTGTTTTCTAAAATGGCATTACCACATATTGGGCACCCTACTCCACATATGAAGGGTTAAAGCCTGAAGATTTCACTAAAAGAAATTTCTCACAGAGGTGATCAGTAACAGTTTTATTTCACTTCGATTTCACTAGCTACAGACTCTATTCACCAAAGCCTTTGCCACCCACACTTATAGAAAAGCAACAGCGTCAGAAGCCCATGGCAGGTCTTTTACTTGAGGTCCTAGCTTCTGCCTCTATAGAATTACATTGAATTCCACAAAGCAGCAAACTGGGTTTGCACTGGTTTTGTTTCTTTGCAATATATAGATGAAACTAAAAATCCTGGCAAGAGTTTGTTTTTTTTTTAAGATTTTTTCTGCTTGTTTTTCGAAGTGGCAATTCAGACATACAGTGCCCTTGCCCCCCACCCTATTACAGACATTATGAATAGCACCACATGTACTGCAGAAGTGAAATCCAGCAATCAAGAGGAGGAATTTTGTTTCTTTATTACCAGCTACTGAATTCAGAAGTCTAACACATTTGGGAGCAGTAGCAGATCTAGGAAAAGGAAAAAAAATCCTCCCCATTTTATATGATCTTTATAAACTCCAGGAGTACCAGTTTAAAAATATGGCATGCATTTGTAGCATCTGCATGTCAAAGGGCTTATGTTCACTATAACTATGATATTGTAACCAACTCATTGCCAGACATCCAGCCAGTTTCAAGGAAAGTTTTATTTCCTCAAAGCAGCATTTATGCCCTGGAAACTAGGTCTGTGTATTTACCTCTACCTATCTCAGTGTGCTTGCATGAATGTATTCTGGGAAACAAGACAAAAAAAAAGACAATTCTGACTCTTGCTTACATGTTTGTTCCAGATCTCCAAATGTATGCACATTGTGCTGCTTAAACGTGCTACCCCAGTGCAGAAGATTTTAGGAAGTAACACCCCACTTTTAACTAATATGAAAGTATCTAGCAGTATGTAGAAAAGTACTTTACTTTTTCTTAGGTGTGGTTACAGAAACGAGGCTCTAAGATCTTATCTGTTCACATAATTAAAGCGACAATAACTTTTTAGTCAAAACCACGGAATGCGTTGGTGGGTGTTACTAACTTACTTTTCTCCATTTTTCATGCACACTACTAAAGCTAGCATCACTGTAGATACCACGTGGGATTACTACTGATCTGGGAGGGAACTGTAAAAATTACAGATACACCCCACCACAAACCACCCTGCCCCAAAGCTGACCAACTCAGCTGGACGTATTATGATCTCTTACCATACACTCCTTTGTCCAATAGAAGTAAAAACTCATTCACTGCATTCCGCATCTCAGATTCAGTGAGATCTAGCAGAGAAACAACTTTGAAATCCAGCTGCCTTAGCAAGTTGGTCAATTCATATACATCTACCATTGGAGCCTTCAGCTGGGGGTGATTCCAGTAGCTCATATTTCCGATCAACAGTGCTACCTTGTCTATTGCTGAAAAGACAAAGAAAAAAATTATATATCCCTGGGTCAGATGCATACATATCTTCTTTTTTTAGCCTTAAATATTTGTACTAAGAGTTGAAATACACACACTCTTCAACTGAAAAAAAACAAACTCATTTTCCATCACTTGGGAAAACAAACAGAACTGGCAGCATGTCTCAAACAATCTCTTATCTCTGTGAACCCATGGAATATTTCCTTTCTATACAGTGGGTGAATCCACACATGCCATTAAGGTGACATGATAAACTCCGGCACACTGAATGCAGTGTCTACACATGTGCCAGGACCACAGCAGTTGAGCAGGAATGGAGCAACTTTGGGATGCCAGGGGGCCCCCAAGGGTTAGCCCCAGGCTGTGGGTGGTGGCATAGGGGCTGGCTGGAGCACAAGGGGGCTAAAGTGCAGGGCTAGGCAGCAGGCAGACCCAGAATTTAGCATCCTTGTGCCCCAACCAGCCCCTATCACCATGTGCACATAGTTAAGCAGTTGAGTACTCTGCTGTAAGATGGTACTGTCGGGGACTGTCCCCAACAGTACTATCTTGTGACAGTTAATTAATTTACAGCACCCTAATACAGGGGCATGTGTAGATGGTGACACCAAAATGGAGCGTATTCTGTAACTTGTGTCTGTGAAGCTCCCAGGCTGTTGCTGTTTTCAGAATGGAAGTGGGGAAAGGGAACAGAGGAAGTTTGGTCTGGGGGGAATTCAGCCAGCAGTGGAAGGTGGGGTGGGTGGATTGGAGCCCCCCTATCTTGGTCTGGGGAACCCCAAGAACAAGCTTCCTGGCTGAGAGCGGGGCGTGGCATTGCTATAAAGACTGGGCTGCAGGCTCACAGCAAGCAACTGGAATCCCCAACTCCCAGACACAACAGCGAACTTCTGTTAGGTCCAGGGGATGGTTGCAATTCATAGCACTTCCTGCAGCACAAGGAAGCATGTAGGACCATAGGACTGGAAGGCACCTCAAAGTCTTGCACCAAAGTCTTGTTCTATCCAGCCTCTGCTTATGAGTTGCACCCTTTTGCTTCCCCCAACGGTCCTCTGCTTATTTTCTTTTAAATGTTTTTTTCAGATTAACCCCACGCCCCCAAGGTTTTGAAGTTATATAGACTGGTAGAGAGCAGTCACCATCAATCTACCAGCAGAACACCCTGCACATTTTTGCAGGCTCCAAAGCAGAAGAGGAAGGGTTCCTTTGGGACTAAATTTCACAGAATCTGTTGAGCATATTTCTAAAACATAAATATCAAATTTTTAGATGCTAGAATAAGACAATCAAAGTGACATGCTCTGTGGGTATCTGCTCTAGATGTATAATATAACAATCATTTTCCCCAAAAGACAATATATTGTTTGTTACCTATAAATGGATCATTGCTTAGAGGAAATGTAATGAGTCAAGTTAAGGTATGACAGAAGCCATTGTAAAAACAAAAGTACATCATGATTTAAATTTCAGAGAAAGATACTTTTCAATTATGTTAGTCAGACAGAACAATATGACCAAGCTTTTGAAAGATTTGCAAAGCAATATCTGTATGTGACAAAAAATGGATTTTTCTTGAACACAGCCAAGTAACAAAGAACTCCTGTATCACAGAGCTGATTTCTCTCTTGCTTATGAGGATGGACAAAGAGAGAAATTCTGCATTGCTACCACACACAGGGCTGTTGTTTCCTCTTGTTTTTATTTAAGAATTAATCCTGCATTGTGCAGGGGGTTGGGCTATATGACTTGAGGTCCCTCTCAACCCTGTGACTCGACTTTCAAGTTTTCAACAGCATCCTGTTTAGATGTTTTTGTAGCATATTATATCCTTAAATAATACATATTTATAAACAGTATAATAATAATATAAAACAGGAGGAACTTGTTCTCCAGCTAAATGCAAATAACTACGATGTCATAGGGATAACAGAGACCTGGTAGGACTCCACCCATGACTGGACCACAGGTTTAGACAGCTATATCCTGTACAGGAGGGATCGAGTGGACAAAAGGGTTTGGGGTGTAGCTCTCTGTCAAGGAGAGCTACGCATCTCTACAAGCTGACAATCGGTGCCCAGGGTGGACAACTAGAGACCCTCTGGGTTAAAATCCGTGAGGAACACAGCACAGGGGATACAGACCCCCTACCCAGAGTCAAGACCTTGACGAGGAGTTCACCAGGGAATTGGCTGAGGCCGCACACTCCCAGTGTATGGTTGTCATAGGAGACTTTAACTACCCAGACATCTTGTGGGAGGAGCGCTTGGCCAAATCCAAGCAGTCGCAAAGCTTTCTTTCATGTGTGGAGGACCTCTATCTGACGCAGGAAGTCTACGGGCCGGCAAGAGGTAAAGCGCTGCTTGACCTCGTATTGCCAACCAGGGATGACCTGATCAGCGATCTAATGATCGAAAGGAAGCTGGGTGACGGTGACCATGAGTTGATCACCTTCACCATCTGTTGCAAAGCTGGCAAGTCAGTCAGTAATACAGAAGTCCTCGACTTTAGGAAAGCTGACTTTGACAAGCTAAGGAGGCTTGTCAGAGAGGTCCTAAAAGGCCACAACCCAATGGAGAGGGAAATTCAGAACGAGTGGTTGCTCCTCAAGGGAGCAATCCTGGATGCACA